GTTGGTCAAATCCCGTATCTCCTTCAAAATTATTCTGACATGAGCTCTCCTGTGAAATATTCCCTTGCTGTCCCAAGAAAAATTAGCCATTCTGTTCCCTACCAAACCCTTAACTCTTTACACAGTGCACATCACCATCGGTTTATCTAACACCCTTTTCACATGTATTTATTTACACAATTTCTGCTTACTCTCAGGGGAGTAAATCATGTCCTGTTCAATCCTGTGAGTTTAAACCAGTGGTTCCTCACCCTATCTTCCCAGTGAAATCATCTGAGGGAGGTTTAAAAATACTGGATACCTGGGATAGTCCTCAGGGGTGCTGTTTTCATTAATGGGTTGGCATTGACTTAGATGTCTCAAACATCTCAAATTCTGTGGATTTTTTAATGCTACAGAAAATTCCAAAACTGAGCCAAGATAGAGTCACTGCTCTTATGCCTGCTGCAAGGTTTTATGTATTAGATTATTTGCCATTTAACTGTTTTATGTTTCTTACGTTACTTTCTCTTAACCTTTAGCAGATTTTTCCCTACAATTGTTGTCAGGATGAATCACCAAAATATCACTTATCCCTGCAAAACGAAACAAACCCTTGAAGTGGAAGTGTCCATCCATCAATGCTGTCTTTGTAAAGTACCACATAAAAACACTCAAGAAATAGCTCACTCTATGGAGTCAGAGGCTGGCTGTTAACACTATTATTTTTGCATGAAGCCCACGCACACCCTGAATGATATTCTTTGGCCTAGAAAGAGAGCTCTGAAATGACAACAACCACAACAAATCTGAAAAGAGCTCCCCCGAATGTTAAATCCCCCACGCTCTGTCCTCCCCCAGCCTTAAAATCTGAAGACTGTTAAAACTGCTTTCCTACAATTCCCTGTAAGAGGAGAGAATTGTTATTGAGAGGGCTGCTTAGGGATTGTTATGTTTGCACTTGGGGCAGATTTCCCATTGTGGTATCCAGAAGTAAAGGCAGAAAGAACTCTTCGGTAAGGTAGGTGATGAACTGGGAGCCTCTTGGGAGACATTTGGCATTTTTCTGAGGTTATAGAGGAGGAAAAGAATCTTGAATAGTTCTCATTTTATGACATGTGCAGAAATCCCCCTATTAGCCTTTGGCGGTGTGGTCATCTGTAGACAAAATGGGGATAGGAGATGCTCTGTTTTTAATAATATTGACACTATTTGTTTTCCTGTTCCCTTTAGTGTAGTTCAACGTGGAAACGGCTGTCCTTCCATACTGTTTTCCACATATTCTAATATGGAAACAAGAGTCGGATTTAATGAGAGCAGACAGATTCTGATTCTTCTCCTTTATTATTTTGAAATCATATTAATCTGGTCTAGGCTGACCTTATAAAAGCTTTAGGGAGAGCCTGAGTGTATAGGGCAAAGTCATTCCTTTCTTGAAAATATCTTCTCTGATGCTGATCACCCATCATTTAAAATTGATTCTTTAGTATTTAGGGAAACTACTGTTATGCCAGACCCTGTCCCATACCATTTCCAATAGCACCAACCTTCCAAGGCCAGAGTGAAATCCCAGAAGCACGGGAAATGTGCTGCAGTTTATTACTTAGTTTATCACAGGAGCGAAGAGAGACAAGGTTTACTCTGGACCCAGAGATGTAAGTATCAGGGGCTGTTATTGAGCATAAATGAAACAGACTTTCAATTTAAAAGACGGAAGACTTAAAAAGACAGTACAAAGTACTGGTAATTATTATAATTAGCAGATGGCAAGCATTTTCTACGGATCTGACACTGCTTAAAGAGCTTTACATGTATTATCCCATCTGATCCTCACAATGATGTAAAGAGAAAAGAGCCACTATTACTTTCATCTGATTTTGCACATGAAAAAATGCAACTCAAGACAATGAGAAAGTGGTCTACAGTTATACAGCTGAGAAATGATCAAGCAAGAGTTTTATACTAGGTACTCTGACCCTCTAAGCAGTGCTGGTAGTCATTATACAATACTGCCTCATGCACAGCAACCTGGATATGAGCATCCTTTTCTGTGTTAGTGAAATCAGCACCCACAAGGCAACTTGAAGTCCAGGGTGCTGAGGGCAGTAAGGCCTACACATCTCTACCTTCTTTGGTTTCTTGGGCTGAATTCCATCATCAGCTCTGCCCACAATTTGATATCCATCTTAGGTATCACTGATATGGCTACAAGCAGCCTGGGAAAGCTCCTTGTCCCCTTGTCTTCATCTTTGAGCAGTGTCCAGTGATGTAATGCTTTTTAACCTTAGCATTATTGATATACTGGGCTGGATAGTTCTTTGTGGGGACAAGCTCCCATTGTGGGATACTTACCAGCATCCGTGGCTTTGAGTCACTAGGTGTCCATAGCACTATCTTCCCCAATTAAGACAGCTAAAATTGTCTGCAGACATTGCTAAGTGTCTCCTCAGGGGGGACAATCACCCCCCTGTTGAGAACTACCAAATACTTTTCAAATTTAGTGTATTTGAGAGGTAGACTATGGGCTTAATAAAATAGATATTTGTGTCTTATCCCCAATTCCTGATTCAACAGTTCTAAGAACGAATCTAAGAATTTGCATTTTTAGTAAGTTCTAGGTGATGTTGATGCTGCTGGCCCAGGACCCACCTTTTGAGAACCACTGAAACAGTCCATTCTGTTATGTAGTCAGAGCCCCATATATCAATAATCACTGTCGTGGTTACTTTTCTCTCATTGCTGAGACAAAATACCCAATGCCTGAAATTAAGGAAGGAAAGGTTTATTTAGCTCACAGTTTGTGGACATTTCAGTCCATACTTGGCTGGCTCCAAGGCAGAGTGGCACATGGCAGAAGACAACAGTTCTTGGAGGTGGAAAACAGCAAAAGCAACAACAGCAAAAAGGGAGGAGCAGAAAGAGCAAGCCTCCTTCCCTCCCTTATATTGCATGTAGGCTATCTGCCCCAAGGCGGGTGTAGCACTTACACCCATAATCCCAACATTGGACCATGAATCAGTCACAAACTCTAGAACCTTGCCCCATGGCTGCATGAGGCTTTGGATGGACATCTAAACACAAACTATAACAATCATGACAAGCTATAATGGAGTGTGGATGATTTTGGAGTCCCTCTGTGATGGTTAATCTTGATTTTCAACTTGATTGGATTGAGAAACAGTTGGAAATTAGTAAAATACACCTCTGAGTGTGTCTATGAGGATGTTCCTGAGATGATGGTATGCAGGACAGCAACCTAAAGAAGACCTGCCTGGAATGCAGGCGACATCATCCAGTAGGATTGGGTGCTGGGAAACAAAAGAAGAAGGATGGAGTCTGCTGGTACCAGCTGTCTGGTCCTCTTGCTATCTGATTCCTGGCCACCATGGGGTGAAACTCTTTCTTCCACTACATGCTGTCCACCACGATATTCCACCTCATCATGGTGCAGAAACAATGAAGCAGAGAAATTATGAATTCAAATCACTGAAACCTTCAGCCAAAATAAATATTTTCTCTTTTTAAGTTGTTTTCTCAGGTATAGGTATTTTGTTATCACAAGAAAAACTGATGAATATATCCCCTCACTTGCTCTGACTCAGACACTAGGAGGAAGAGTCGAGTAGTAGAATGAACCCTGGAGATACATTCAGAAGACATGGCTTTACCCTGTTTTCAAAAAACTGGATGGCAAAATTTTCAAATCCTTGATTTACTAACACATAAAATGTACCAGAGAATACTGATATTATAGGTCACTCAGTGAAACAACACAGTATTTTCCAAACTTTGACCAAACTCAAAACATGACAATTTCTTACTGTATCCACCCACAACCTGGAATTAATACTTCTCTTTAAATCAGCTCACTGAAAGAAGGAGAGGGAACCTTAATCATCTACTTTATCATGAGAAATAATATCTGTGAAATCATGATTTTCATTTGCTAATTATGTTTTTCCTGAAATACATTAAGATAACTATTAAAAATTTCATATACTGTCTAAATGTATCTTACATACCTCCCATAGTTATGTTATCACACTCTGGTGAACACTGAGATATTTGAGAGAAAGTTTTATAAGTTGTTAAGTGCCATACAAATTCAAGATGCTGTCATCAACTTTGTCCGGGCAGGGCAATTGTCATAACTGTCTAGAAAGTAAGTGAATGGTGAGACTTTGGTGGCCTTCCCTGGTGTCAAAGACTACAGCAAGGTTCAGAGTCTCTTGCTGCTCACGATGCTCAGATGTGGATCAGCAATAGCCATTTGAACGTGTTATCCTGTCACCTTTGAGCACTGTTCCTAATGTGTCCTAGTACCGTTTACAAAGGGAGATGAAGAATTTAAAAGGCAGAACAAATTTGAGCCAAGAGGAGTATATTTGACACTAATGATATGTACTTGAGTTTGTTATTCCTCATATAATTATCAAAAGCAGGTCCTATTCCAGAAAAGACATATTTATGGTTTCAGCACATCCCCTCCCAAGGAAGACATCACTCCAGAATGTTGGCCTGCTCAGGGAGCCCAAGTGAGATTTTAAAGGGTGAGGTCCCAAGGTTAAAGAACACACGTGTGCAAGACATCAGCAACAAGAGAAGGCAGCATGGAGCCCAGCAGAGCAGAGCAGAACAGCAAGAGCAAGAGCCACCTGCATCTTTATTGTATAATTCTTATACAGGTTGTTTTCTCACATTTACATTCTTACATAGGGTAATAACCAGCTCATGCATATTTACCTGTGCTAAGTCATGGTTACACAACTATATCTCACTGTATGCCTGTGCTAGACAAGCTGGGTCATGTTCTCAGTTGTCCTTAGATGCCCTCAGCTTTGAAGCAATCTGAGTGGTTCCCCACATAGGACCTCACCATTATCTGCCTGTGACAAACTAAACTTTCCCTGCCTACCTAACTATCAGATTGTTTGGTCCCTGTATCATCTTGGAATAGACTCAAGTCCTCAGACAATTGCTTCTCATTTGGAATCACTATTTCTCTCCTCTATGCATATTAGACTCAACTCAGGAATATTTTGAAAAATTGATGCATGAACCCCGCCCCAGACTACTTGTAGAAGAATTCCTGACAGGTGGGTCCAACACCCCAGGTGAGCCAAATGTTAAACATACTGTTTTCAGTGAGGGAGAAAAACTCTTCAAATATTTGAATCCTCCTGTAACCAAAGGGCATCTTCCTTAGAGATAAACATGCATCAACTTCAGTTCCATAAAGAATTTCATACTTTTGTATACATTACTTCTTCTTTTTTTTTTTTTTTGGTCTTTTTGAGACAGAGTCTCAATATGCAGTTCAGGCTGGCCTTGAGCTGACTTTGTAGCCCAGGGTTGTCTCGAACTCACAACAATCCTCTTGCCTCAGCTTCCCGAGTGCTGGGATTACAGTCATGTGCCACCACGCCCGGCTGTATTCACTACTTCTTGAGCTCATGTACTTTTTCTACTTGTCAGATAGCACCGTTTTTTCCACCTCATGTTTCAAAGAAGGGGATAATTGAATAACATCAATTACCCCATATTATAATCTGCATTTACTTAACATGTTCTTAATACTGCTCTATTTTCCATGAAATTCACTGGATCCCTGTGATGAGAAGATATTTTAACAACTTTTTTGTAAAGGAAAGCTATTAGGCTGCCTATCCAGCACAAGTACAACTTCAGAAATTTACCTTGGTATTGTTGAAGCTGCCATTTTTATACATTATTAATCTTAGCACCTTTGAATACAGCTGATTGAAGCAGAGCTAAGTAAGATTTAGTCAGACTAATTAATCCCTTTCCTAAGTACATAGAATTAGGAGGAGAAAAGAAAGAAAATGAGAAAGAGGTAGGGGAAAAGAGAGAAAGGAAAAAGGGAAGGGCTATATTATCAGTGGCCTTAAATTATTATTTAATTTTGTATTAATAAACCTATTAATAAACCTATATTAATAACCTACATAATTAGTGTCCTTAAAGGTAAAGCAAAGTGTCACAGTCAGTATTTGTCTTATGCATTGGGCAGGTGAAGGAAGCTAGTGAGGAAAACGAATGAGGCAAACACACAAAAAGGAGATCAGACAACAGATGGGGAGAAAGAACCTGAGAATCCAAGTTCCAGTTTCCCTCTTTTTCTCCTGACACTTAGATCTGCCCTTGGCCTCTTTGAAAAAGCTCAGCAACTTATAACAAACTCTCTCTTTTTACTTACGATAATCTGAATAGCTTTCTGTTCCTAGCAATCAAAAGAACTTAATGGGATTATGTATAGAATATGGGAGGAATTTAAAGAAGTATAAGACTGACAGGATCCTTCTACAAATTTACAATCCACAAAACCCAATAGAAAAATCCAAACTTTGGAGTCAGACACAAGTCAGCTCCAAACTCTTACTCAATAGTGGTGTTATATTAGATGGTAAAATGACGATGAAAGACTACAGTTCTTTTATGTGTGAAAATTAAACACTAGTGTGTTGCCTGGCACTTTGTTGAAGCCTCCACTGATCTTAATTCTTTTCTCTCTTGGAACTAGAAGAGATCTTAGGAGATGCAGAGGAGAGATGTCTGAGGTCATGCCATCCAAGAGCTGGCATGGCCTGGGTTTCACGTGATCAGTCTCCTCACCTTTTGCCTTGCTCTCAGCTAAGAGAGAAGAGGAGGCATGACATCATATCACACAAAGAGACCATTCCCCCACTCCTGACTCCATGCTGCCCAGGGGCATCGGAGCAGCCAATTAAGATGTTTCATCCTCAGAGTTTCTAGTGAAGGCAGGTGGGAAGAAAAGGTCACAGAACTCTGAGTGTAAAAAAGGAAAAAGTTCACTGGGGCATATGCTTTGGAAGTGTCTCATTCTAAAATAAAAGTGATTAAAAGAAACTGGGTCATTGAATTAAAGTGCATCAGGATCCTCATTAAAAATTTGACTTTTCCTCATATGAATCCCCAAAATAGAGGAATGTAAGAAAGCTATTTGGTTTGGGGATAAATCATAGTAGGAAAGTTGGGACTTTTGGAGCTAGACAGACCTGGGTTCAAATTTTGGCTTTGAATCTTATCAGGTTAGTGGACTCCAGTCAACCACCCAAGCCTCAGTTTACCCCCACCCCAACAATATTATTATATGGATATAAAGTGTCTAATTCATTGTATTGATTAAAGAATTTAAATAACATTCTTGTAACATGTTTACATAGTGACTAGCACACAGTATGTGCCCTATAAAATGGTCCTATACCATTTCCATAACCCATAAAACTTTAGTGTGACCTCAAAGAATGTTTATGATCACAACTGGGTTTTGAGTTCCACTTCTGATTTGATGGTCCTGTGAAATCACTCAACATTTTAGATCTCAATGTGCTTCTCCGTTTAGAAGGAATAGCAACACCTACATAAAGTAGATCACTTCCCCTTCCTTCTTCTCCACAGAAGCAGCATCCTTCCCAGGCAAGTTGATCCTACCTCAGCTCCAAGGGACACCTGGTAGATGTTGAAGAAAACTCCGCCCAGGCCCTTGGCTCAGGAAAGGCCACAGGACACTATGTTGGCCAATGATACAAGAGCAGAAGCTTGCCTGGGGACTTCTGGAAAAAATTCCCTCCTTCCAGGTTGTTTCCCTTTCTGGGTATTGTCTGATCTGCATGTGATCCCTGGGGATTACTTTGCCCATCTTATGACTAGACTGTGGGTGAGCCCAGAGTAAAACAGAGAAGAAAATAAAAAGGACATAGGCCTCTGTATCACTACTGATCCCTTTAATCAACCTGCAGTGAAGACTGCCTTACTCTGAATTTCCTGTTCCAGGCAGTAATAAATGACCTATCATTTAAACCAGCTGGTGTTGCAATTTTTGTTATTGCATCCAAAAGTATCCTAACAGATGAGGGTTAATTATGACACTATGTGTAAATCACTTGTCACAGCCAATCCTGGCACCTACTAAGGGCACAACAAATGATTAGCTCTTATCACTGATGCCATCATCATTATTATCATCGTCACAAGCCAGATCGCTAATAATAGTATTTTAAAAAACAGCAGCAGCTATAAAAATAACAGCTCATTCCCTATGTGCCAGACACAGTTTTAAGTGCTCACCATATTTAAATTATTTAATCTTCACAGTAGCCCCATAAGATAGAAGTTACAATTACCCTCGTCTTACAGATGGTAAAGATGAGGTTCAGAGATATCAAGTAATTTTTCTGAGGTCACACAGCTGGTAGTGTTATCAAAACCCAACAGCCAAACATTAGAGTCCAAAAGAGAAATTTGATTTGACTTCTTGATGTGACCTCTTTTTCCCTTCAGCTTTTAAGGAAAACCATCACAGATGAATAGGGTACCTGGGAGGGACTACCATAATATGGAGAGGGAGATGATTCTGGAATAATCCATGTACGAGTGACCTCAAGTAAGATGCATAATTACACTGTGGCTCAATTGCCTATGTATAAAATAGAGGCAGGAGTAGGGAAATGCCCATGTTGTAGGATTATTATAAGGACTATAGAACGATTCTTGTTCAGTGTGTGGTACAAGGCCTCAATGAGACCTATTAAAGATGAATTATCACAACACTTGAGCATTGTTTCACCAGCTTCCATTTACCAGTTGCCTGCTTTGTCTCATTAGACATGACATGAAGAAGAGGAAAGGCTTAAGCAGATTGTGTGGATGCCAACAAAATTGGCAGTTATCACTTTAACTTGAATCTCCTTCTCTACTCTCCCCACTAAGGAGTCTGATGATAATTCTCTTGCAGAGCTTCATTTCATAAGTAGGGCCAATTTGACTCATTATCTCCCTGTCAGCACCAAGAGAATGAAAACCAGCTGTCATTACCTACTTATCCTGCTCTGAATAGAATCTAGGATGGAGGAGAAGTCAAGGGTGAATCCCCCGTCACTAGGTTGTTAACCTTGAAGACAAAATTCAAGAATTCTAGGACAAGCCCAGGCTGAAAATCCCTGGAACCTTCTGGGGAACTTCAGGTGATAACTTTTGAAGGAGGACACTGCATGGTCAGGACAAAGAAAACACAGCTGGAGAAAGTAGCCCTCCATGGCAGACTAGAGCATGGTGTTTACATTCCTGAATTGTACTGAACACAGCAGAGATTTGGAAATCATGCAGATGTGGGATTCAATCCAGAATGTTGCACTGTGACCTTAGGCAGAGTGCTGAATCCCACTGAGATTTGGTTTTCTTACCATTACAGTTGAATATATATATATATACACACACACACACATATACATTTATATACATATATATTTTATATATATTTATATACATATATAGTATTGCTTATCAGGATAAGTTCTTAGAAATACTATTTGTAGATTACAACATTGTGTGAATAGTATAAAATGTATTTATACAAATTAATACAGCTGTGTGGTCGCTAGGGGATATAATGTTATGGGGCCACCATCATACAGTAGTAGTTCTTCGTTGACCAAAAGATTAGCATGTCTCACATGACCACGTGTGTATATATGTGTGTGTGTGTCTTCACCAAAATGTGACTATTTTCTGAGACCAGTGACTTGTTTTTCTTGTGTGCCAAAAGGCAAGAAAATGCCCTTGTTGCTTCCTGTTGCTGCTTCATGGCCATTTCTTTTCCACCCTGCCTCCAAAATTTCAGCTTCTTTGAAGCCCATACCATCTAGAGTTCCTTCTTTTTAGCCTTTTTTGACCTTCCAGCCACCCACTCTCATTCACTGAAAATTCTAGCACCCGGCACAGTTTTCCTGACCACCACTACTCCTATGACTCTTCCCTATGGATTCAATAGCCACCTCCCCCACCCCAGCATCTCTGCCTCATCTTACGTCCACAAATATGTTCTGCCTAAACTCAGTCCTTTCTTTATATGGTTTCACTCTAAAACTTTGAGTGAACCAGATTCAAGATCCCAAACCTAAGCACTTAATCCTCTTATGCTTTTAGTTGACCCCTGGTGAGACCACCTAATCAATAATTCTTCTCCACCAGTGTGACCTTTAATCCATTGGTCTCCATTACTACAACACTATTGATCATCTCTTGTCCATTGCTATTTTCTTATTCACACCATAAAAACGCATGCTCAAGCAATATATTATATCACTTGGGAGATACCCTTAATTCCCTTAACTCCTCTGCCCATATTTGGTTTCTTGAGCCAAGGGTTAAATGCAGTACTTTACCTATTCTAGAATGCAACCTAACAGCTCAACAGGTCTCAGAGAAACATGAACCAAGCTGATCAAACTCTTTTTATCTTACGATCATAGTCCTACTGGAAAAATCCCATTGTGTTTCCTTTTCTATTTTTCCAAGAAGATTACTTAGAATCTGATCTCCAAGCTGCCAGTTCCTCTTCTTTTATCTGTAAAATATTGATGAATTCTCTCTCATTTCCCTGAGAAAATAAAAGAATTTATAAGAACATAATCATCATGCCACACCTACCACCAAATATCCAATCATCTATACTAATTCTGAATCTCCTGTTGTACATGATGGATCCTATATTAAAAAGTAACCCTCCACCTTTACAAACCGTCTTGCTTCCATGAAGGCATCAATTTCCATTAACTTCTCTGTATCATTTCTTCCCTCTCTGTGGATCATTCCCATAAGTGTACAGACATCCTATAGTAATTCATTCTCTTTTTTTTTTGTTTTGTTTTTGTGTTTTTTTTGTTTTTGTTTTTGTTTTTTTTGGTTTTTTTTCCGGTACCGGGAACCGAACTCATGACCTTGCGCTTGCCAGGCAGGCGCTTTTGCCACTGAGCTAAATCCCCAGCCCCAGTAATTCATTCTTAAGAACACTTTCCTTAATACCACATCCCCATCCATCTATCATTCACTTCTTTTTCTAACTTATATTAAAACATCCAATATTCTAGGCTTATACTATTTGTGCATGTTCTTTATCCTCACCATTTCATAGAATTGAGTCTTATAAAGGACACTAATAATTTCCATGCCGCCAAAATTAATAGTGAATTCTCAATCCTCTTATAAGAATGCCCAGTAATCTCTGACACACTTGACTAATTTTCCTCTGGTTAAACATTATCTTCTATTCAGGCATGATGGCACTCACCTAAAATCCAAGCACACTGGCAGGCGAAGGCAGGAGGATCACAAGATTGAACACAGTCTGGGCAACTTAGTGACTTAGTGAGTCCTGTCTCAAAAAAAAAATGTAATTAAAGGAGGCTGAGATGTAGCATAATGTAAAGACCCTGAGTGTAATCTCTAGTGCTGAAAAAAGAAAGTGAACTATCATTATTTTCGCCTAGCTTTGAAGATACCATGCTGTTTTCTGCCAGAGGCTCCACTTGAGTCTTTCTTGAGGGATCTTCTTCATATAACAATTTCTAAATGCAAACTTGCTTCAAGGCTGTCACTAGGTTGGTCTCTCCCCTCTCCCCTCTCTTCTTTTTTCCATCTAAATTCTGTTTTTAAATGACCATATTCATTGTTAGTATTTATGTATCACATATGTTGATGATCTCAGAATTGGTGCCACTGGCCAACATATTCACAGTATTGTCTGCACTCTGTACTCCATTTGTTGACTCAAAATCTTCATGCACATTTCTAATGGACATCTTCAACTTCTTAGGGTGAGCAGAACTATTGACTTGTCTGATAAAACCTAATCCATGTCAAAAAATAGGTGGTAAATCTAATCACTAATACTACTTTCATTATAACTCTTATAATGGGCATCAGCGAGCCACAAATTATGACCCATGAACCAAAAATCTAGCTTGCAACGTACTGCTAGAAGGTTTGTGGGAAAATTACTACCATAATTTATTTGCACATTATCTACAGCTATATTCCTGCTACAATGGCAGAAGTTTGTGGATATGGGAGACACTATATGGCCCCCAAGTCTAAAATTTTTATTATTTGGATTATTTCAGGAAACATTTGTGGCATTTTGCTCTCAGCCACCATTGCTTCAGGCCTGTGTGGCTTCCGTGTTCTTCTGTTTGGTAGGCTTTCTCCCATAATATTACTTCTCCTGCATCCAAAAGGGAGATCTGTTCTTAAAATATAAGTCATATCATATCAGTTTCTTAATTAAAAGGTTCTTATTGTTCCATTATGTTTCCAATAAAACCAGTACTCTGTATCATAGCCTGTAAGTCCTAAATGATCTGGATGTGCATTCTTTTCTAACTTAATTTTCTACAACTTTTCTTCTTACTCAGCAGTCACAAGTTCCTTGGCCTTTTTCTTGGTCCTTAAATACACAAAGTACTTACACTGTAATATACTTTGCATTTCTTTCTACATCTGCCTAAAGATCTTTTAATCTACATATCCCTATGGCTGCTTTGTTTCATTGCCCATGCCTCTGCTCCAAAATCCTCTCCTCCACTAAAAGAAGGGCATTTCCTACTTTCCTATTTTTCTCACTGACCACCATGTTCATATCACTCAGAACAGTCCAGACTCCCAATATGTAATTTTTGGACATAAGTAAAAAATCCTAACATAAAGATAGGCAGAAAGTACTATGGTAACACAAGCAAGGGCACCTCACACATCTCAGCATTGAGCAGTGATTAAAGGCCAGCAGAGAAGAGGACAGTACTGGTGTAAAGAGGTGTTCTGGAAAAGAGGACACAGATGCAAATATAGGAACCACAAAAAAAAGCAGTACATTCAGGAGCCATGAGAGAACAGTGAACCATGTGCCAGGCATATAGATTAGACCATCCATGTGGATATATAACCAGATAGATACAGAAGTAGATCAGGATTTGCTGTGGAAATAGGCATAAAGTAAATAACAA